ATTGTATGTATATAACACATCTTTGTGAATGTTGGGGTTCTTCCCACCTTTTGGCTATTCTGAATAATGCTGCTATGGGTGTATATATTTGTTTATATTTTTACTTTTCATTGTTTTGAATTTATACCCAGAATTTGAATTGTTGGATCATATGGTAATTATATGTTTAATTAATTCAGGAATTACCTGATAAGTAAATGTGAAAGACGACATGAATATCTTCATCTCATTGGTGTTAAGAGAGGCAGATGTCCAGCCAGGGAGGCAGGGGTTTCAGGCCACTGCTGAAAACAGTTTCTCCCAGCTTCATTTCACGTCATGGTTCTATGATTTGTTGGGCCTGCCCATTTATGTAAGGAGATGGAAAACACACCATGTAATTGAATTTCCAGCCACTAACACATTTCTAGCAATGAGTAAATTTGGAACTGGTTAAGGCGGGGTGGGGAAAGGATTACAAGCTCTTTTGAGAGATTCTTTGTTAAACTGTAAGTTCCTCAAAAGATCGAGACCATCCTGGTCAACATGGTGAAACCCCATCTCTACTAAACATACAAAAAATTAGCTGGGCATGGTGGTGCGTGCCTGTAATTCCAGCTACTCAGGAGGCTGAGGCAGGAGAATTGCCTGAACCCAGGAGGCGGAGGTTGCGGTGAGCCAAGATCGCGCCATTGCACTCCAGCCTGGGTAACGAGAGCGAAACTCCGTCTCAAAAAAAGAAAAAAGATAGGTACATCTGTAATCTAATACTTAATTTCATCTCCACACATTACATAGAGTAGGAACTCCATACATGAATTCGATAAATGTTTATTGAGCAATTCTTGTATGTTCAGTACTGAAATGTGAAGATCATTCTTTCGGTTTTAGGGAACATGCAGTTTGACTCAAGGAGCCGTAAGAGGAAACCCTAACCCTACATGCAGTTAGGTGGTAATTTACGTAAAATTGGTACAAGCATCTGGATCCAACAGGAATGAAAATGGACGTTGTATACTGAGGGCTGACCTCATGCACTGAGTGACATAAGCTTTCTTACACACATAATCCACTATTTTCCTTTTGCCAACCCACTGAAGCAGGGGTGTGTTGCATTTCCAGAGGAAACGTGAGGCACAGGTAGGTTAAGCAGCTTGTCCAGTGTCACACAAACAGCAAATGGTTCAGGTAGAATTCCATCTCGATGCTGTCTGTTTCTAAGTCCATGCTCTTAACTACAAATGCTGGGTTTTAAAAATCACCTTTCATGAAATTCCCAAGCATAGGACAAGGCAGACAACACAGCAGGGATGCGGGGGTGGGGGGGGCTCCAGGATGGCAAGTGGCCATGAAGAAAAGTGGAGGTTGGTGAGCCCATTACAGGCACTCCACAATAACATAAGTTCAGACCACGGGGAGGCCCCAATACCAAGAATTCCCACCTCCAAGCATGAGTTTTTTGCTCTATAGGAAATAGCAGAGCACCAACCCTCATTATTTACTTATTTTTAGTAGATTCTACTTTTTCTGAGACCTGACAGTATAACCTTGAAGCGCTCTGAGCCTCAGTGTCCTGCAGAAGACCATGGTAAAACCTTTCCTGTTTACCTATCACAAGGCTTAAAGAGATGAAAGGGATCTTTTGGGGAAAACAGGCATGTACTTGAATCATTAATAGCTAATATTTATTAACTACTCACTCTGTTCTGACATTGTGCCTGGTTCTTTACATAAGTTATATAATTCTCAAAACAATCCTATGAAGTTAATATCACCTTATAGGAGAGGAAACTAAAGCTCAGCGAGGTGAAGTGACTTAGACAAGGTTACACAGTAAACAAATAGTTACTGGGGTTCAAACTGAGCTCTGTTCAACTCCAAAGCCTATGGATTCACCTTCTTTACTGTATTCAAATACATTAAGGCTTATTGCGCCAGGCTCGATGGCTCACACCTGTAATACCAGCACTTTGGGAGGCTGAGGCAGGTGGATCACCTGAAGTCAGGAGTTCAAGACCAGCCTGGGCAACATAACCCTGTCTCTACAAAAATACAAAAATTAGCCCGGTATGGTGGTCCCAGCTACAGGAGGCTGAGGCAGGAGAATCGCTTGAACCTGGGAGGCAGAGTTTTCAGTAAGCTAAGATCTCACCACCGCACTTTAGAGCAACAGAGTGAAACTCCATCTCAGAAAAAAAAATACATTAAGACTTATGTATTCATATTCGTTAGGTAGTTAGCAGCAGGTGTACCATATTATTAAATTCATTTTTAATTTTTATTATCAATTTATTTATTTTAAAATTTTTTTGAGGAGACAGGGTCTTGCTATTTTGCCCAGGCTGGTCTTGAACTCCTGGTCTCAAGCAATCCACTCACTTTGGCCTCCCAAAATGCTAGAATTACAGGTGTGCACCACTGCACCCAGCCCCAAGTTTACTTTTAATGATCACCTCAAATGCATTACAGAAGTCACTGAACAGTTCTCATTTGATACACAGTACAGGGAAAGCAAATGTTCAAAAACGTTCATGCCTGTATGCACAGATACTAACAGGAAACAGGAAGTCAGTATCATCTTATAGGAGAGGAAACTGTCCCAGTTAATGCCTTAGTTTTTTTTGGTGCTTGTTCTGCATCTAAGCAACTTCCCTATGCCAGTGAATCCTACGTTTGTCTCCTTATACCCAGTTCTTCAGGAAATATAAAATGTGAACAGATAATTCCAATACAAGTTACTGTACTGCATCCACTGAGAGAATGTTACAAAGTATTAGAGATACGAAAGGATGCAATAGGAAGCAAGAAACAAAGAAGAACAAACACAGACACAACACTCCTGGCACTCTACCGTAACATTTCAGCTGTTATTAAATATGCATAAGAGAAATCTTTATTGCTTCTTTGGAAGCTCCTAATTGCTACAGAACTCTTAGCAGGCTACTCCCTTGCTGCTCTTTTACTTTGCTGGAAACGTATTTCAAATGCTGCCTACCATAATAAAAGTATCTTAAACTGTTTGCTTTCTGCTGGTATCAGAAAGAACATTCATTGCCTGAAAGTTTTTTGCATAAAGGAAAAATGTTTTCTGCTCCATAAAGCTCTAATCTGGCCTTGGCTATAAGTGACTCTGTAGGAGCTGGAGTAAAAACCGTTCCAACCCACTCTGGTATGTACATTAATACAAATTTTGTGCCATTTCTCCCTGATGATTATTTGTCATTAGGGAAAGGTTTTTGTATGGGATTTTATTTATCTCCACATGTGACAAGCCCCTTCTCCTCCAGCTTGGTGAAACCACTCACTGGCTTTGCATCAGGAATAGCTAAAAGTGAGGAAAATGGTCTACACTTGGGCAGTTAACATCACCATTAGACCAAATCTCAGTAGCATTCAGTAACAATTTCTAGAACTGAGACACAGGGCAAAATTCAAGGAACAAAACCCCCTTACTACTTAATTTGTACCAGCAACAAAAATGACTTCATATTGACAGATTGACTTGGGATAGCTTGCATGTTCCTCTGCTTTGATGCAAAATTCCCACAGGTAGGAACTTAGAGGCCTTACTCATAAAGGTAGGACAGTTTCAGAGACTAAATGCTAAGCTCAGTTTTACAGGAGGGTTTAGAACTCTGTGTAGCAGAAATATAAAGACATACAAGTAGAGAGCATTGCTTATGCAGATCACACCCTGAATTTAGGTAACAGTACACATTATCTAAATATTTCACTTTTCTTCCACCCTTTCAGGAACATGGCAGTCTGGCACTTCCATGACCCACTGAATTTAGGGTTGCCGTTTGACTTGCTTTGGCCAATGAACAATGACTGAAAGTCACTTAAGGATAAGGAAAGGTGATTTCCAAAAGACATGCTATATGGGCAAAAATGTATATGTTCTCTGAAACATCAGAGTGCTTCTAGAAAGCCATCTGTCATCATGTCTCACTGCCACACAGAAGTATCCCCTAGGACATTTTGAGATTATAGAATGTTATTAGAGATAATTTCCTACTTGTCCTCATCAAATTATTTGGAGCTTTCATCTTTTGCTTTGTTAGTAATTTCAAAGAACAATGCCTTAGAATAATTACCTGTGACTATCAGTTGTGTGTTCCATGTGTATTCACATTTAAATGACCAAGAAGTACTTATATTTGAAAATCTAGCTTTCCAAGACTGAAAAGTTAAATACGTCACAGTTATCCATCTTCCATCATGTATCTGCAATTATTTCAAAAATGGGTTTATAATCCTCTTTAAGATAGAAAAAGTAAGTATTTAATAAAAAGGTTTGCTGACATTGCAGTTATTACATTTAACAGCTTGGGCATATTCATTTGCCAAGGAATGAGATGAAGAGTTTGAAAAGGCCTATAATAAAGTCACAGTTTGATTTGTGTGGAGGATGATATCTCTGCTCTGTCTTAATTTAGTTCATTAATATGCCCAGATAGTAAAAAGTTTGCAGTTAAACATGATAAAAACACAAACAGTGCCATCTTTTGGACAATGCTTAAACTTGATGCATATATGTGGACACCTATGCCTGTGTCAGGCTATGTATTCAGTACCCACAAGAATTCATCACAGATGCCAGTAAGATCTTGTTTTCATCATTAATAAATCTCCAGAACATTAAAGCTTCTTTTTTTTTTTTTGAGACGGAGTTTCACTCTTGTTACCCAGGCTGGAGTGCAATGGCGCGATCTCGGCTCACCGCAACCTCCACCTCCTGGGTTCAGGCAATTCTCCTGCCTCAGCCTCCTGAGTAGCCGGGATTACAGGCACGCGCCACCATGCCCAGCTAATTTTTTGTATTTTTAGTAGAGACGGGGTTTCACCATGTTGACCAGGATGGTCTCAATCTCTTTGACCTCGTGATCCACCCGCCTCGGCCTCCCAATGTGCTGGGATTACAGGCGTGAGCCACCACGCCCAGCCCATTGAAGCTTTTATTGGCAATATAGGAATGCAAGCCACCGTGCTCAACTTGCACCTGTTCAACTTACCTGGAATAGCACGCTGAGACTGGCTTCTTAACATCTCCGTGGAAATGCCATTGTGACCATGTGCTTTTTTGGTTCCTGGAGCACCTGAAGAAGTTTTTCCTCATCTAAGTTCCTTTCTGAACCTTGGATGAGCTGTCTGTGCTTCTGGGGTCAGGCTTTGCTCTCACTGTGAAGGTATCATCCCAGCCTCTCCAAAAATAAAAAAGCAAAAGAAAGAAAAGAAACCTAGGATGAAATCTTTCTGGCTCAGGTGTCAGCTTTTGAAAAACAGGTGGATAGATGTCATGTATAAAAATAGAAATCCTGTTGTATGCTGCTTATAACTGTTATTCATAACTGAAGTGAGAGAATAGACAAGAAAACCCTGTTTCCCCAAAACTCATTTTCTATTGAATAGTGCAGATCAGTTCAGTACGGGGCAATCTGAAAAGATGACCTGCACAACAAGATGCCGGCATTTTAGAAGAGGAATTCCAGATTGTCATTCTAGTCAAGCATTTAATAGCCATCTAGCATTATCCGACAGACTCCACATGAAGCAGTCCTATGGCCCCTGAAATGATTGGGACAGTTATTGCTTGAAGACTTTGTAGGAGGAAAAATACTTCAAAGGATGATTTTAAAGGATTGTGGAATATAAAAGTAAGATGGAGGTAATTTTGTTGATGATGATACCTACATTTACTGGACATTTACCATGTGCTAGGTACTATTTAAATATCGTACATGAATAAACTCATTTAACCCTCATGACAATTTAGTGAAGTAGGTTCTGTTATAGTCATCATTTCACCAAAGGAGAAACTGAGACAGAGAGGGGATTGGCAATTTGTCCAACGTCACATAATTCGTCAGGAAGCACTTAATAGAAAATCTCATCTCAAAGAAAACTGAAAAAAATAGAGATTTACCATGATGAAGTTGTAATGAACCAAGGCTAGATTGGAGCATGAGCATCAGATCCATTCACTCATTCATTCAGCAAACACAGAATTACTTCAACACCTATGCTATGTACCATTGTCATGGCAAAGGCTTGAACAAAACAAACTCCCTGGCATCGTACAGCTTGCCTTAGAGCAGGGCAGATACTACACAGAAACATACTATAATGTCTTGAGGTTGTTAAGAAAGCAGAATAGGGTGAGTGAATGCTTGGGGACACTGTGCTAGGCTCAGATGACTGCGATATGAAATAATTGATACCTGCCCCCCAAAGCACGTTGAGCCTGATGAGGAACACAGACTCAGTGGCTTGTGCTATGGGAGAGCACAGGCTGCTTGGAAGCATGTAAGCTTCCCCAGCTGGACCAGCAATGAGGCTTTCAAAGGAGGCTTCTCAGAGATGGGGATGTCTCCACTGAGAATTATAGAATGATAGAATTGACTAGACAGGAAATGTGGGGACATCTAAGGACAGAATAAACACAAAATACACAATTTGAGAGTTGGGCAAGCTCTGGTAACGGAAGGAAGCTCCATGTAATGGGATCTTAGAATAGGCGCAGGAGAGTGGTTGAAAATAGGAGGGTCTGCATATTTCAGCAGAGGCCACATCACACCGAGCCTTGCATGCCCTGAGATGAAATAGATGCTCACTAATTCTGAGGGCTGTGAGTAGACACGGAGGGGTGGTGATGGGAAATGATGAGACAAATTCCGTTTTCTGCAGAGAGCACTCCAACAACGAGACTCATGGGCTGGAGGTGACAAGGTAAAGCCAGGAGGATAAGCTCAGAGCCCATCACAGCAGTCTAAGGAGAGAGGAGCGGTTGGAGAAGACGAGCCCCATCTGCAAGACTCTTAGAAGAAAGGTGCTGGTTTACTGGATTTGCAGGAGGAATGGAAAGAAAGGGAGACAGGAAGATGTACAGGTGGCAGGCATGGGTGACTGGGACAGCCATGGTGTCATTCATAAGAAAACAGGATACAAAAGGAGGGGCAGAGTTAGATGTTAGAGCACCTGAAGCTTGCTAGACATTCCTGCCATCCCAAACACCACTGTTTCTCCATCACACATGCCATCATCTCTGTCTTCTCCAGGCATTTGAAAAGGCCATGGCCCTTACCTGTTTTCCCACATCTTCTGTGGCCTCTTCCTGAGTTTTCCTCTGGACAATCCCTCCTCATATCTCAGGTCTAGACTCCAGTGTCACTCATTTCCTGGCCTCCAGGGCTCCAGGCAGGGTGGGGCAGCTTTGTGTGCTCCCGTAGCAGTGATTCTCCCTCTCGGCAGTAAGTTTCTTTTCATTTGTCTCTGTGCAAAACTAAATAAAAAACTCAGCCCAGATTCTCTACTACAAAGCTCCTGCCTCGTGGTACGTCCTCCAGCAATACTTGGACACCTATATGAATGAGGGTCCTGTAAATCCCTAGATACATGGGCACCAAGCTCTAAAGAAGGATCTGAAATTAGAGGTATGGATTTTGTGAGAGGTGAGAAGGTTCTTCAAAGTTTATATCTTAGACTACATTAAAAGGAGTTACAATCTCTTGCTCTATGGCTATTATCCACTATTAGCATAAGCATCTACCCATGTATATATATATTATCTAAATCAGCTACATTTTAAATCAGCTACGTCTTAAATCAGCTACCTTGACTTGATCTGGCATGTCTGAACGGAACTGGGCAAGCTCCAAACTCTGGTGCATGCCATTCTTTATTTAGAAACCCTCCTGACTCTCACCTGACTAGCTTCCTTACCAAGAACCAGCTCGGTCGGGAGACCCCCACCTGGGCAGCACGGAAGGTATTTGAGAGGCAGACACCCAGATAGCACAACAGAGTGGCTCTATCCTGGGGACCAACAGCCTGAGAGCCTGTGGGGCTGACAGTGTTCCAGGCTGAAGGCCCCAAGCAGAGATTCATTCACGTATTTATTTGCTCTTTAACAAAAAAAAGGTCAGGTGATTCTTTTTTTTTTTTTGAGACGGAGTTTCACTCTTGTTACCCAGGCTGGAGTGCAATGGCACGATCTCGGCTCACTGCAACCTCCGCCTCCTGGGTTCAGGCAATTCTCCTGCCTCAGCCTCCTGAGTAGCTGGGATTACAGGCACGCACTACCATGCCCAGCTAATTTTTTGTATTTTTAGTAGAGACGGGGTTTCACCATGTTGACCAGGATGGTCTCGATCTCTCGACCTCGTGATCCACCCGTCTCGGCCTCCCAAAGTGCTGGGATTATAGGCTTGAGCCACTGTGCCCGGCCCAGGTGATCCTTATTAATACACAAGTATTCTATATAAACACAGAACTCAGGAATATACCAGGTAGGCAGCTGTTACTTTACCACTAATTACAAACTAAAACTGTCTTCCACACCGGAAACCACAGGGGCAGGGTAAACTTCATTGTTTCTCAACACCTCCTCTTCTTCCTTGTCTTCTTTCCCCCTTATCTATTCCAGAAATTTCCAAGTTTTTTAGCCAATCAGGTCAGGCATAGAATGTGAGGTCTTGTTCCAGCCAATGAAAACTGGGCACAGCAGTATGGCAATTGGATCCAGTTATGAAAGTTATAAATGTCACCATCTCCTTTGTTCAGGTGTCCTCTCGTGGCATGACCGCCAGCGAGTTGTACCTTCCTGCAGAAAATGAACTAGCCTGGCTGAGTAATCCATTGTCTTGGTGTGGACTTTCCCACGTTATGAACCCGTTTCCAACAAATTGGGCATGAGCAGCTGGAGGAAGCAATTTCCCTTCAATTGATTACCCCACAGCCCTAGGAGAAGAAAATGGTTGTTTCTTTCCCTCACCATCATCCTGAAGGGCAGTGTTAAAAACAAAAACTCACATATTTATTATGCTCAAAACACCTTACCTGTGTCTTCTTTTGATGCCTTCTATCGTCCCAGGAAAGCAGGTGGTGGTGGTTTCCTTTTTTTCTTCCTCTCGCTATTGATTTCTTTTCTGATCAAATAAAAGACTTTTCACACGAACAGCAAAGACAACATACACAAACCAGAAGATCTCTCTCCTCAGTTTTGGGGATTGACTTTTCTTTAAAAACAAAGGTGAAAAACAATCTCCTTTGTCCCACTCCCCTTCCAAATCTCCTCCCATCTCTGGGGACCATCATGTCTCCTAAGTCTCACATTTCTCCATGTCCTGCTTAACCTAAGTTTCTCTTTTGAAATAGTCACTCCTCTCTAGGTTGCCGCCACCTGAGCCTGAAACCTTTTCTGTTTGTGGAACAGGACTTAGCACCAAACATCATGGCATCATTTTCCGATGAGGTTCCCCCACCAAAGTGAAGAGAGGCATCTTAGCTGGATGGGATTAATGGAAATCCTGTTTGTGTACACACCTTGTGTTCACTGCCTGATCAAGATACAACTTAGTATGCTAATGAATTCTAATTAGGGTGGGCTATGGTGTGTCCCTCTGTCACATCAGTTTATGTCACTGGAGCCCTCTGCGGGAAGGAGTTACACTTTCCTACTCCTGCGAAGATTATTTAAATTGAATGTAGAATAAGGAGATTTTGGCCTCAGTTCGAATCTCTGTAATCATTATTCACATTTATTTTGTGACTTTTTCTGTACCCCTCGAGATAGCTGAGCATCTCAGAAAACATGAAAAATGATACTGAGACCAATTAATAAGCATTAAACAAATGCACAAAGGGAGCATATATTCTTGCACAAATGTAGAATTAAGTGCCTAAGAGACTTTCTGAAACGTGTGGCTGTAGATGCTCTGAATTGCTTCCGAATTGTTGAATGTAATTTTAAAGTGGAATGAAAGCATGATTCTTGGTTGAATGGCTATGACTTTCAAAAGTCTTTGAAAAAATTATGGTAATAGAAATCTTGAGATTTGTGTGTTAGGTTTATTGTTAAAGAGTGTTAAAGGGGAGGCTTTCATTTTGAGTGTAGATGTGTATCTCTTCCAGTGGCTGGAGGAGTGATTTCAATGCTGGCTGAAATGATTTACCTGTTCTCCAGAATGTTAAAATGAGTCTCTCCTTGGTTCAGGTACTAAAGTATGAGGCTTACTCTTCCCACATGTGGAATTTCAACATTCTTGGACATTCCTCTTTAACCTTAACTAGAAAGGATATAACAGGAGGAGGACTTATTGAAGTACTTGCACTGAAAAGAGCTATTATCATGCTGATTCTGTAGGACACTTCCCTCCCTCACCTGTGTAAGAGGATCTGAAAGAGTACTAGTTCTCTTAGATCAAGCCTGCTTGGAGGACTTCATCCAAACTACTGAAATAGTATTAATTATAAGGACAAGTACCTGACCCTTCTTGGAAAGCTCAAGTTGCGTGTGACAACAGGATAGTGGTGGCTGCATTGCTGGGGCCAGTACCATCAGAGCTTAAAGGACAAAGCCTTTTTGAGTGTTTCCTGTGGAATAGACCTGGGCCAGGCAGGAGACAGGGTCACTGTGAGGGTTATTAATAGTAATCTTGGTTTAAGGACAGTTATCATAGTAGACCAAAGAAATACTAATTTTCAGACAAGTTTGCTCTAAACTCCTCAGCCCAGTGTCCACCTTTTGGAAATCCAAGCTCTCTTTCTGTACATATGGATAATGTGTAAAGATTGATTCCATTGATTATACATACGGAGATCCCAGTGAGTGATTTCCCAAAGCCACAAGTGGTAAGACTTAGAAACGAAAACATGCAGCAGAACAGCAGCTAGAATCTTTGTGTGAGCTACTAGCCTGCAGAGGCAGACCAAACACAGACAGACACATGGCATTGCAGATGTCCAAAACCACCTCTTTGTGTGCACAGGTATCCTTGGATATACTTTAGCAAAAGGCAGGTCCTGGGCACAGTCCAACAGAGTCAGGTGTATAAAGATGGCACTAAAAGCATTGGCTCAGGATGTGTTTTATATTGTTTTGGAAATGGACGTGATGGATTCGCTTTGACGCCATATTTACAATGCGTGGGGAAGGAACACCAGTGGCTAGGTCTGACTTTTGGACCTGGATACCTGAGCAATCTGACCTAGGTGGGCTGACATGGAAGATGGGGAATTGTGACTCCTTGTCTCCTTGTTCTGTGTGGGAGCCTTTCCTAGGCCTTTCATTTCTGCCACAACAAAACCTCATTACATCCCATAAGAGGACACATTTCACGATTGCCCTGTCACTCAGAAGAAGCCAGAAAGGCAAAACCAACAAAGCCTCACCAACCACTTTAAACACCCGGATCTTGGAATAATAGGTTTCCAAATAATAGGCTTCCAATAATCATGTTTTAACCTCTGCACACAGACATTCACTGTGTTCTGCATGTTTACTGCCATCTGAATCAATCTCGTGGAGATATCCAAAGACTTAAAATGTAAACATTGATTCCTTTGGTCATTTCTTTTCCATATTTCTACACTTTTTCATTTTGTATCTAACCCTTTAGATTCAAAACACAGATTCTCTGACCCTTCAACTCATTCTTCTGTTCTCCAATAAATACCAGGGAAGCTTTCAGAGATATGGTGAAGAAATCTGATTTTCCAAATTAGAAAACCCTTTCATTCATAGGCAACAAGACGTCTAGGAAAAGCTAGATGCCACTTTTTAAAATCCTAACTATTAACTGTGGAAGGATTTTGAAGTTAAATACATGATGAGATAAGTGCTTTTCTTATCTAGGGAGCAGGTTCGGGGCTTCGCTGTGTCATGCAGGCATTCTCCTGCGTTTTATGAGTGTTTTCATTTTGAAAACTTGATACTTCATTACTAAAAATTCTACTCCTTGGAAGGAGGGGATTAGGAAGATACTGTTCTAAAGCTGCAGCATTCTGTCAGACAGGAGAAGTAAACTCAAGATTTCTCTTGTACAACATGGAAACTGGAGTTAATAACAATGTATTGTATACTTGAAAATTGCTAAGAGAACAGATTTTAAGTGTTCTCACTGCAAATGATAAATATATGAGGTAAGGCATATATTAATTAGCTTCATTTACCCATTGCACAATGTACATTATTAAATTGATAAAAATAATTATTAATGGATTGTTCACCTCCTTTTTCTGTTTCCCCAAGTTTTCCTCCTTTTCACTGACCATTGCTTTATTATTTCCTCCATACAATGATTAAACTTCTCTTCTCCTGTCACTTTCTCCACTCCAAGACACTGTTTTTGGGGAGAAGGGCGGGACTTCTCCACTCCACCTTTACTTCTCTTCAGGGGCTTTTTGGCTCATGTTCTCCTCACCCAGAGGCACAGAGGCAGAAGGATAAACACCAGGGGTGCACACACTATGACTCACGTCTCATCGTGCTATTCTCTAGGCAGTGACCACATCAACCTGTATTTAAATTTTTGCAAAACCAGGCCAGGTCCCAAATTGTCACACACAGTAACAGACAACCTGAGTTGGCTTTTGTGTTGTGCTAGCCCCTACTTTATTTCTTGTCTCTTTTAAGTCAACACAAATCCATGCAAATGGGAAGGTGCTCGCCTGGAACATGATTTATTAGTCTTTGCAGGATCTGTGTATTTCATTTGAATATTTGCAATCACATGCAAGTTGCGCCCGAGTGCTCTGTATCTTGAAGGATGGGATCTTTACTCCACTAAGTAAGACATATTATTCACTACTCCAGAGGTAACATAAGGGTTGATTTATCCAGGTATGTACTGCTCACCCAGCAGCTGTTGGATTCAGAATCACTGGCTTAGAAAATCCATCAGAATTAAAGAGCAAATTTCAAAATAAATTTTTATTGTTTACATCTGCAGCCTGGCTGCATATACCTTGTGAAATGTTCTTTTTACCTAAACGTTTCTTTAAACCTCTCCTTGGGAAATACAGTTATGAAAGCGAGTCCTTCAGGAGCTCTTTTCCAGTGACGACGGCCACTGACCTTGTGATGTTGAGGTGGGCTTTCAACTTCATCTGATTTATGTCAGCAACAAGCTGGCTCACCAAAATGAGTCAGAACTCTTGAATCATCAAATGTCTCCTAACTCTGCAGGAGCAAACAATCTAGAAACAGAAAATGGCTGCTCATCCATTCTGCCGAATATTGACAGGAGCCTAGTCCAGAGTTCTCTTCCACGCTTTAGGGAAACCGCCTGCTCCATGGCAAGAGTGACAACATCTTGGAGTGAAACCACCATAATGACTGATGTTTAATTCCTGCAGACCAAGGAATTCAGCAGGGTCTTTAAACAATGGCTAGATAAGCCATTGTATAGATAAGCCCTCATAAAGATGCTTATGTAACTTTCTTAGTGGTCATGAGTTTTTCAAGAAAGCCTGAAGTATGATCAGCTGCTATGCCTTTCACCTAAAATCTTACTATTTCAGGTATGCTTCCTAGAGGGCAGGTTTTGGGGATCTACCATCTTAAGGCGGCCCAAGACATCACTTCTGTTAGTGAGTCCCCATTAAATATTTCTTTTTGAGAAACTGGGGTTATCAGCCTCTTTCTTCAGCTTCTCAGCTCCCTTGGCCTTCTTACTCCCTTACACAGGCAGTAAGACAGAGCTTTTGTCTAGACACTCCTTGCTAGAAATGTTGATTGGCTCTTGTCTCCTGACTCATTCAGCTTATGCATCCCTTCCAGAGTATCCTTCAGATGACCATGGTTATCATGTCCATTTAACAGGAGAATATGATATTCAGAGAGAAAGTCACTTTCAGCAATTTTGTGGCAAATATGAAATAAAATGTTCAGAATTCTGCTTAATCCCAAACCATTTTCAGCTTGCAGTGAATCAAGTTGTCGCCCCTGACTTTGTACCAAAAAAAAAAAAATTCTGAACTGTCTGATGTGATTGCCTTCAGTGACTTTTCAACCAGTCTGATAATCTTGACCCAAGGTCACCTGCTCTCATCTTCTAGCTGGAAGTAAGGCATGTTGCCTAGTGGGCTTTGGTGTGCGATGCCTTGGATAATTTCTGCTCCACACTTGCCCACTGTGTGACCTCGGACACATTTTCAGGTTGAACCAGGTGAGATATGAGATTGCCATATCTGTGGGTCAAAACCAGTCAAACATTAGCAATTTTATATGATTCAGCTTTAATTTCTCTAAAAGTTAGTTTCTTCCTCTGGGAAAAGAGACAAGCTAAAGAACTTACTTTTTGGAGTTTCCATGAAAATCAAATGAGATAATACCTGTCAAAGCATAGCATAGTACTTGGCAGAGGATAAGTGCAGCTGCTTTTATCATTTCCAGTGGGGGCGTCAATTAGGAGGCATAATTTTTGATGTGGCTCACTTCAGCTGAGTCTGCTGAAGCTGTCGTTGCAGGAAGATTTTGGTGTTCTGATACATTGTGCTATTTTTTTTTTTTTTTCAAAGTTCTTAGTACCCTAAAACAAGGAATAATCTTTTTATTTTTCTGTAGAGATTAGTGTCTCACTGTGGTATCCAGGTTGGTCTCAATTTCCTGGACTCAAGTGACCCTCCTGCCTTGGCTTCCCGAAGTGTTGAGACTGGAGCTGTGAGCCACTGTGCCCAGCGATTATGCTATTTTTCAACACAAAAACAGTCATTTGTAACGTTTATAACATGCTAAAAACCTGAAATCTGAATTAGAAGCTGCACCGAGAGTTAAAGTTTCAGATCAAACAAAGGTCATTTAGAAGGCATTCTCACTGTATTTCTCTCATGTAAAATCTTTCAGAAATAACTCGGTGTTTTTGGAATTTCCATGTATTGGGTTCGTGGTGAGGTTGAGGCTTTTTTTTGTGTTTTAACTGGTCATTTGTATTTCAAGCAGAGCTGTTTGGGACCCAAATATCTACCTGCAGAAAGAGGGCAAGGGAGAGGGTCTGAGGTTCTTTCACAGACATTCTGGAGAGCAACCACTTTCCTTCCCTCTGGACCACATTCCCTCTGCTCCTCTCCATCCTACCCTAGGGTCTGGTTTAGGTTTACAGAGTCTAACTCCTTCCCTAGAATAATTTGTTTTAACCAGGACCTTCTTCTTCAGTTAACATTGTAGGTGAGCTGAGATTACAAAGGAATCTTGGTCCTGGACCGTGGCTTTTCTCAGGTAGCCTGGCATTCAAGAACAAGAGCAGAAGACAATGGTGGCCATATCTCATTTTTTAAAATACCAGCATTAAGCAAAATAAATGCGAATATTGTCATTTGACTCCAATATGCAAACTAATGATTGCCTTGGTCCTATGAGGTTTACATTCTCACCTAAAGCAACACATTGGTCCTGGTGCCCGTTCACAGGTTTCTTTCCTAACCTGGAAAAGCAATTATTGCACCACCCCTTTTCCCTCTAGAAAACGCTTCATTGCTGGTAATTGTCATTGAGGGGCATAATATGTCAGGCATGGCCCCTAACATTGTTTCACGTTATATAAATAGGCTGGACAGTGAGTGATGAAGTGCTGAATTATGTGGCTTTAAGTACTATAAATGTTCAGAGAAAGAATGAGGCATGTGCTTCATGGAAGACCTGGAGTCCAATTCTCTCCACCAAGTGATCCAAAAGAATGTGCCTCTTCTCTTTTCTGCTTCTGTTCTTGGCTTTATTCTATGACATCTGGCTCTTTGTCAGAAACCTTTTGAAATGTCTGTCTTAAAGCAAATTAAAACAACCTGGAATTCCAGAATTTTAGACTCCATCACTACCGTCTCTCATATGAAACTGTCCTCACTCCCATTGCTGGGCTCACAGCTCAAATACAAACAACCCTCATTGGCTTCATCCACGTATCCCCGATTCTTACCCCTGAGCCTGCCCACTAACCTCTGCTCCTTTTGTGAACGTTGCTGCTGTTTCTTCTGCTTTTGCTGCAGCTGCTTTTTCTCCTCCTCCTCCTCCTCCTCACGCCTCACTCTCCCTCCCTCTCTCCCTCCCTCTCTCCCTCCTCTTCCTCCTCCTCCTTCTCAAAATCTCCACATTTCCATCTAACTCCATTTAATTCTGCTCACCCAATCACTCAAACCAACCCGACACCGCTAATTTTGTCAGGAAAATGGCGGTGCTTTGGGATTTTGTTTCGGTGTGGTACATCAGTTGTTTCTCTCGCTTATTTTCCTACAGTTTCATTTGTGTTCTCCTGGCTGCCTCAGTAAATTTAAAGCTCTTCAAGAGCAGAAGCTGTGCTTTCTCTTTGCTCCGATGCTCCCCATAGTGCTCAATGCTCTGCACACAGTGGGTGTCACAGGGTTGTCGCTGACTGATGGATGCAATGAAAGCTCCAACAGCCTCATGAACCAATGGACCACAGGGTGGTGTAATCATGCTGCTGTTCGTCTCAGCCTCCAAACTCTGGGCAAAAAGCCAAAGCCCACCCAAGATGTGGTAATGGTCTTATAATGACACAGTATTTGTTTACAAGCCTTCTTAAGAGAAAGTCAATTTGTAGCCTCCGAAGCCTTTAAGACATATTGTCTTATTAGCCCTGCTCCTGTGGCTGGGGAGTGATATAACCCTCTATAGAAAAGGAGCAACCACAGAAGGAACAAATCCTGCTTTCTATGTTTCTTAGTGATATTCACAAGACGATGAATAGGAAAAGCTCTGGTCCCACTGTTCTTTGAAGCCTCTTTGATTTCCTGGGCCAGTGATGACTTTACCACTTTTAAAACTCCTGTAGCATGTAAATTGGTCTTTGGTATTTAGAGCAATTTATAAACAATGCTGGCCAATGGCAATGTCTGATGATAGCCAAGAAGTAAGTAGGAGATTCCTGTTCATTACTCCCTGAAGCAGAGTTCACAGGCACCTTTTCCTTTCCGTCTTTGCCTAAAATTGCATGGCAATTAGAAAGCAACATTACCCATTCTTGGTCAGCAATGACCTGCTGAGAAAATAAGTGCATTTTCCTTCAAGTCTGTGTGACCAGTTCTCCTCTTTATACCCCTGGAAATGGATATTAGCTAGACTGAAACATGGGAAGTCTCAGCCACTGGATGGTGATGATATTAAGGCACTTAACTTGTTTTTTCAGATCTGATAGGTTTCCATGGAAATAACAGTTGGAAGCCAGCAACTGAGAAGTAAAAGAATTCTGGTTTTTTTCTCAGCTCTGGCTGCTGACAGAGAGTCAGATTTTTAAACAAGCTGTAGAATCTAGGAATCTTTGATCTGGGGCATCTATCATACTCCATTAAAATAAAAATCCCCATCATTTGTTATTTTTGTGACCTTCTGTTAATCTTCATGATTGTCAACTAATATTTAGATCATACCTGTGAATCTAGGAATTGGCCCACAGTAAGGAAACAGCCATGGCCTGTAGTCAGGATCCCTGGGTTCAAATATCACAAATTCCAGTGGCGGAAATGCGGGCAAGTTATCTGAACTCTGAGAGTCTCCATTTCTTCTTACATAAAAGGTAAATTATTAATATTTTCAGGATCCATAGCATTAAATAAAAGAAAGTATGAGAAGCATTTAGGGTACACAGTCAGTAATCAATAAATGTTCGTTGGACCTTAGAGAAGAAACTAAAAATGAAAAAAATAAACTAAGGTCAGCTGATTAGTAACTTAATTGCATCTGCAAAGTCCCTTTTGTCTTGTAGCGTAGCATATGCAAAGGCATAACAATAGGGCATGAAGGTCACTGGGGCTAAAATTTTGCCTAGCACATGATGTATCATGTAGAATAGAAATGTATGTCACTGCTTTTTACCTGTTACAAATAGGTATTGAAAAATGGTGGAAAGTAACTATAATCAACCGCCTAGGAGCAGAACCAAAGTAACCCAATTTTCTTTTAAATGTTTCTGGTAAACTTGTGATCTCTATGCCAAGCACTCTACATAATACCCATGAATTTTTCTATTTAGAGAAAAATTTCTTTTTTCAGTCTCCATGTTAGCCACCTGCTCTCTTAACAGTCACTTTTTAATTTGATTCAGCAGCAAGGAAAATAAATTGCAGAAAATAAAAAAATTCTGTTATTTAAAAAAAATTCGATTATGTGACATTAAAAAAAAAAAAATCCCAGTGTTTTAGGAGGCCAAGGTGGGAAGATCCCTTGAGGTCAGGAATTCAAGACCAGCCTGGGCAGCATAGCAACACCCCGTATCTACAAAGTAAAAAATAAAAAAATTAGTCAGCTGTGGTGGTGCACACCATAGTCTTTGCTTCCCAGGAGGCTGACGCCAGAGGATCACTTGAGCCCAAGAGTTTGAGGCTGCAGTGAACTATAAGGACACCACTGCACTCCAGCCTGGGTAACAGCGAGACCCTACCTCTCAAAAGAGTTAACAATGAAACAAAAAGTAAAAATTAAAAATCTAAAAGTAAAGTATAGTTGTTTTCTTTCTGGAAAAACTCACAATGGAGATGGATTTCAATGGTGTGACTGGGTCCATGGCAGACCAGCTTCCCAAACCACTCTTTATAAAAATGCCTTCAGGCTGGGTGTGGTGGCTCTCACTTATAATCCCAGCACTTTGGAAGGCCAAGGCGGGTGGATCACCTGAGATCAGGAGTTCGAGACCAGGCTGGCCAACATGGCAAAACCCCGTCTCTACTGAAAAAAAAAAAAAAAAAGCTGGATGTGGTGGTAGGTACCTGTAATCCTAGCTACTCAGGAGGCTGAGGCAGGAGAATTGCTTGAACCCAGGAGGCAGAGGTTGCTGTGAGCCAAGATTGTAACATTGCACTTCAGCCTGGACAAAGAGGTGAGACTGTCTCAAAAAAAAAAAAAAAAAAGCCTTCAGAGAGTCACATGTTCTCTGGAATATTTTCCAAAAGTCATGGGGTCAAAATGAAGCTTTATTCTTGATTCTCCCACCCACAAAGTGTGTTACTTCTGTTCAGCCAATGAGAAGTCTGAGCATGAAGAAAGTCAATAAACGGATGAATAAGGTCTGGGCTATAAATACGTGAAATCAATGAGTCTGGACATCTTGCTTAAACCTTGCCTAAGTCCACACGCCATAGACGTGTGTATACGAGGAGGTTTTCTGAAGTTTGGTCGCATTTAATTATTCATGAGAAGGAAAGAATGACTCTATGCTTCCGGAGGATTATTGGTAGTTGAGGGGAGAGAGGAATTTTCAAAGACGTTACAAATAAGGTTATAATCAAATGTAAACTTCCCAGAAAGGTTTACCTGATTTTGAACTACCATTTTCTCTTGGTAGGTTAGGAAACCACCGCTAAATAGAAAATGTGACCTACTTTAGGGAAAAGGGCCCCTCAGGTCCCAGCACTGAGTTCTGAACACTGGCGTTCTACAAAGGGTTGTTGTTCCTTCAGGGAAACCGTCTGAGACTAAATCCGCTTGAGTGTGGCTTCCTGTGAAGGTGCTTGTTCCATCTCACCACTCAGAGGGCATCTCTATGCAAACGGACGAACGCCCATGATTCCCTGCTTCAGCACTGCTCTATTCTCTTGGAAAACAAGCATTCCCCAAGACCCCAAAAGCATTTGCATTTTGGTTGATGATGTGGTCACTGGGAAATACTCACTCACTTTATAAATATTGCATTGACTCAGAAACACCCACCTCTAGAGAAAAAGCCCCTTAGTCAGGGTATTGCCTGGACTTCCCCAGGATATTGTAGATTAAACCCAGTGGCCAGGGCTATAGTCTGACTTGTCCAACATTAATTCCCCATGAGAGAGAGATATCCAGTGTGAAGCAAAGCTTGAATTTATAAAAGCATCCTTAGTGGTATTCCTGAATGTGGGCACTGTAAGAGCCAGGGTAGACTAACTACTACATAAACAACATCCCAAATCAGTGGAATGTCAAAAGAAGCACAATATCTCATTCCTGTCATAGGCCAAAGCAGTTGCTTCTTGTTGAGGGGTTCTCCCGGTGCCTCTCCTTCCGTGGATACTCAGGGACTCAGGCTCCATTTTATCTTTGCTATCCTCCAAGTCCTCAAAGTTCTCTCCATTCAACTGGTAAATGGAGAAAATGAAGGGCACTATGGTTCCCAAAATTGTGCACCAAGGTGCCCTGGAGAGCTACACACTGAATTCACAAGGGTGTCATACAATCTTTTTATTTTTTTGAGACAGTCTCACTCTCTCACCAGGATGAAGTTCAATGGTGTGATCTCAGCTCACTGCAACCTCTGCTTCCTGGTTTCAAGTGTTTCTTGTGCCTCAGCCTCTTGAGTAGGTGGGATTACAGGCACATGCCAACATACCCAGCTAATTTCTGTATTTTTAGTAGAGACAGGGTTTCACCATGTTGGCCAGGATGGTCTTGATCTCTTGACCTTGTGATCCACCCACCTCGGCCTCCCCAAGTGCTGGGATTACAGGTATGAGCCACTGCATCCAGCCGTAATATTTTAAAAAATTTTAGGGAAACCCAGCAATACTCCACATCTGTTGGACACTGCAAACACTAATATCTCAAGGCAATTCCTGATTTCATCATGAAATCATGGGACATTAATTTTGATAATGCTGTATCTTTTTGAATCTGGGTATTTAGAAATTGCTGTGATAAAAAGCATATACTGCATTAAAATCAATGTGCAACAGGATGAAGACAGGGGTGTCCAACGTGATTTACAGATTAAAGGAGTTATGCAATCCCTAAACAGGCATAGACATCCCATGAGGAAGTGATTATGGTTATTTAAGAATGAAATAAAAATATCATTTGGCTTTTAATTCACATGTACTATTTTTTCAAAGCACAAAGTTATTGGGACATAAATATTTATTAAGTTACTTGGCCCTAACTACATTTTAATTGGAAATGTTAGGTGTTTCTGTGGCTGAGGAGTACAATGAAAAATTTGCTAAGTCCCTGAGAGCACCATGAATTGAAAAACAGATGATTGTGCTGAGAAATAATTAAGGGCCATCCCCACAAGTACTATAGTCACCTCCATCCGCATTCCACTGGT